TCGTTGGATGGATAGGTTCAGTTTGATGAAGGTCTTCAAGAATTTTTGTGTAGGAACTCATGATGTTTTACGGAACAAGAGTTCAATCATCCCTACTTATATACTTTTTCAAAAGACTTCCATTTACAGGGGCTTTTAGTAATCGTCCATCTAATTGCCTTATTTTGTAAGCACCGTTTCCAATAATATCATGTATGTAGTACGGTCCTTTCCATTTTGGGTCTAATTTTCCCGTATGGGTTTTATCTTTGGCGGCTTCAAAGTATAAAACTTTATCTCCAATGTGATACGAAATTAGCCTTTTCAATTTCTTATCATGATGATCTTCCTGTTTTTGCTGCTCAATTTATAATTGTTTTTGAACAGTATTACGGATGATCAGCAGGTGATCTAATTGTTTTTCCACATGATTATGCAAAATGGGTTCCTCCTCCACTTTCGTACTATCTATTGGTAATTTAGCATCTCTTCCATATACAAGGAAAAAGGGTGATATTTTTGTTACAGAGTGTTCATTTGTGCGATAGGCAAATAACATTGGTGCAATATACTGATCCCAATTTCTTATATGATCGGTGGCTGTTTTTGCAAGAGCTACTATTAAGGTTCTATTAAACCTTTCAACTAGTCCATTTGTTTGTGGATGATAAGGGGTCAACATCCTATGCAGTATTTCAAATTTTTGTAAAAGTTCGTTAAGTAATTGATTATTGAAATGTGTTTTTCAATCTGTAAGAATTTCTCCAGGACATCCATGCCTGCCAATAATATCTTCATATACGAATTTTACAGTTGATTTCGCATCGGCATTTCTTACAGGTTTTGCTTCTGGCCATTTTGTTAGATAATTCATTGCGACTATTATGTACTTGTTTCCTTTGCTTGATAGCGGTAAAGGTCTCACGTAATCAATTCCTATACAATAAAATAGTTGTCCTATTAGAATCAGATGTAAAGGTTCGATTCTGGAGGCTCGTCTTCTTCTTTAACAACTGTCACAAGATTGTGTATATCTTCGAATATCTTCGAACATTTGTGGCCAATAAAATCATTGTTTAAGTTTTCCATCATCTTTTCTCTTGAAGTATGTGCAACGGTGGGATCATTATGGAACATATAAAGTGCAGGTCCTACTTCAAATTTTTTTAGTACTCTTATGAATTCGTTTGCATTATTGTGATTCTTTTTGTATAATAGGTCGTGTTGGATATGATAGTATTTTGATTGTGTTTTTAAATTATTTTGTTGTATTTGATTAAGATTATCAGGGTAGTTTCCAGTAGTTAAATATGTCAATAAATTATTATATGTTGATTCTTCCATCTTG